ATCGTTTGGAAGATATTTTCATTTAGTGTCACTTGCGCAGTTATCCTTTTGTGTAGGGGCCTTTGTGCAATTAATGAAAGTTAATTGCTAAGTGTTTCCTTGGGACTTGAATTCTCATACGGGATTCATTTTCACATTTCGTCGAGTCGTGTGCTCTTACAATTGTCTTGTGGTCGAACCCTACAGTTTTCGGGTTTTCGTCCCCAGTTAGCGTCAAACTTGTTTGGGGCATATATCTCTGCTCGGGACTCAGTTTTTGACGCTGTTTCCTCCGTGGATCATATTTTCTCATTTTGATTCTTTTTCATTCACGGAGTTTTGCCGTTTGAGCTTGTCTGCTCAAATTTCACTTTTCGGGACCCGTTCGGGGCACTTTTTGAGATTCTATAAACAGGGGGTGCTATAAATAAAAGTCGAAGCTCTTCTCTCTCTCTTTCCCATGGCCAGCCCTAGCTCCTCCCATGGCTGCCATGTTTCTTTTCCCCTTTAAGCCTTCATCCTCTTTGAAAAAAACGATGATGCCTTAGGCTTTATTGTTCGCCTTGACGAGGCCTTCGATTCCAACCTTGGAATCCCGTTTGGGCCATTTTTTGAGTTCGGGTTTGAAGCCAAGTTTGGATTTTGGTGTGACCTCCTTGGTGTTTTAATGATCACCTTGTTGTCCCCAACAAAACTTAGAAATTTTGTCTGATTCGGGGCGGTTTCACTTCGGTGGGGATTTGTGATTTCATCACAAAGTGAGATATGGGATGTATTATGATTATATATGTGTTGTATTGATTGTTTTCTAAGCATATACAACTTGTAAGCATGCCTTGTTCAAATTATAGAAATTTAGTATAATTACTTCTTTGTATACGATTTAATTCACATGAATGTGTATAGCCTAGAATTGAATTGTGGTATGCTATTAAATTAGGTCTTGATATGTTTGTTAACATATATTAAGTTGGGGGTATTTGAATAAGAAATGAAATTTTTATTTAATCTTTCACTTGTATGAAAGTTTAATTCACATGGTTGTAACTAGTATGAAATTAACTTGTAATGTGATATTAAATTAGGCCTTGGTATATTCTTCAATCTATGTTAATTTAAGAACATTTGGAATTGATTTGAAATCTAGAGATTTTTCATGATTAGGTTGATAATCCCTTGAAATGTAATCCGCTTAATTACCTTGTGAGTATATTACTAATTAGATGTATAATTAGTACTTTTGGCCTCTTAAAATGGTAATTGAACTTAGAATGATATAGGATATCATTATATTGCAAAGCTTGTTTAAAATGTATCTTGTATAGGTATATAACTTGTTTAGAATATTACAATTGATTACCTTGAAAATTAGTTACTAAATTATAATTTATTTAATACTTGTGGCGTATGATGGTAATTGGGTTCAATTGTTGTAAAATATTCTTGTTTTGTGTATAAATTGCATATTGAGGACTTGACATGTCATATGTTATTTAGACTTGAATTCTAGGACATGATTTGTGTAGATTCAACCTTACTTGTGCATGGAAAATGGGTTTTATGCATTACTGGATTTGATATAAGTTTGGTCTAACTTATTTATTTGGTATAAGTTTTGAACTTGTTAATTTTGGAAAGCTTGTAAGGACATATTTCATGTGATGACTAGGGTTTGGCTCTAGTACGGAGACAAGAGTTTTCTAAGTCATAAGTGCGTACTAGGTAGTACCTTGTGGGTCGTAATTACCCGGAATAACTTATATATGTGCGCACTAGTTAGTCAATGATGATTATTTTTTAATTGTGGATTGCTTAACAATGCTTATATATATTTAACATTTTGCACTCAGTAAATGTGTTTATGATATTTCCTATTAATTAATGTACATGTACATATTACTTTAATAAGTGGTAATAGGAATAGTCTTGGAAAAGACATTATTGTTAGATCATTATTGATACTTCTCATCTATAGACTATGTTGAATAGGTTACTAGTGTTGTGGTACATAGAAGGGATTGCGTCATTTAGTGATATACAACCACCATGACTCGCATTGGTAATTTATTTACAATGATATTTATGATCACCAACTTAAGAACTTAATCTAATTTATGGTGCACACTAATGATTATTTTATTAAACCACTATGGAAGTTATCATATGGGCCAAGTGGGAAAATGCAAGATTATTTATTAATTGTGTGGCCCATATGATTTAGACATGTGATATATTTCATTAATTAGTGGTTAAGTAAATAGATATTAGATTAATATTTGTTATTTGGTCAACTTATAAATTACCTTTTGGTAATTAAATATTGGAGAAGTGTTTTCCTATTTGTTTCATACTTTGATGGAAAGTGGAATTAAAGTTACTAAAAGGAAAATTGATCCTCTCTCTGCCTTAATAAAAATGCATATATCCCATCAATTATGTACGCTAATGAAAACAATACGTATAATATCTATGTGTGCAAAAGGGTAAGAGAGAGAAATCAGTTTCCACGTTTTGCCTATTATTTGGAGTTGCAGCTCAATTCATTATTAAAGGATCTCGACGTTGGACTTGATCTCTACGGTATTTGCAATCACAGATCAAGGTATTTATATATATACTTAACTACTTTATTTATGCATTATAGTAATGTGAGAATGATGAAGTTCTAAGATTTTGGGATTTATGTTTATTTGTGATTAATGATTTGCACGAATAATTAAAATTTACATATCACACTTGTTTCATCCCAAAAAATATATATATAAAATAAATTTGTGGAATAAATCTATCAACGGGCTAAAGAACATTTAACAACTCTAGCAGTTTAAAATGCTTTTAGTTTAAAAAATTGCATATTACATTTTGGTGTGCTTAATAATTATTTAAAGCACTTTTAATGATTATCAATTTTAGCTCTTTTGAATGAAGTTAGAATTTGGAACTTCTTAAAAATTATTTTTTTTGACAATTTTATCAATTTTTTATTTTTTTAAAGACAAATTAGTCCTTTTTTAAAAAAGTTGCTATTATTATATGATATTATTGTAAAATTAGTAATACACGTGTTTTAAAAATATTGTTACCAAAAATTTTAAATGTGATAGGAATATATTATTCATTTATTTTGTTGAGATGATGTGATCTCAGCAAAATAATATATTCAAATTTAAATTAGTAATACAAAAATTTAAAAGTAGCCTTAATTTGAAGGCAGGACCTCTTCGAGAATAACTTATGATTCTATTATCTTCGCTGAATGCTCTGTGTTGGATTTGGCTATTCAAAACATATATTCACTACATTGTTGAAGCCACTTTTCACTTCTTTGCTATTTTATTTCAGAATTGATAAAATATAAAAAATATTAATTAATTACTTAAATTAAATTAAATAAGGTACTAACAAATATGATTTTGAGGATAAAATATGTAAGAAATATGAGCTCATCACTGTTCATGAAGAAAACTATGTGATTAAGGAGAACAAGATTAAACTTCTTAAAGTTCAATATGAGGACCGCAAAATGGAAGAAAGAGAAACTGTATCAGAGAACTTGTTCAGGATCAATGAAATTGCCAACATAAAGGTTCTTGGAGAAGATACAAAGGACTTTGATGTGCGTAAGAAGATTCTCGTGTGGTTAACCTCTAGGTTCAATATAAAGGTCGTCATTCTTGAACACAAGGGTCGCACTCGGAAATTTCCTCACTCTCTCTCTCTCTCTCTCTCCATAACTAGATTACTGTTTATCTTCTTTTTTTTTTTTTTTTTTTTTTGGTGTTATTATATATTTTATTTAATTTTATTTTGTGAGTTATTATTTAATGAGACTTATTTTATTCTTGTCGCAAACAAACAAACTCTTATAACAATTGGATAAAATGTTTATTTTGCATGACTTGTATTTTAACTTATTAATTTATTGTACTGACATGAAGGTATTATCGTCATTTTAAGTCTTGAGGAGACTATTTGCACCAAATTAATAGTATAGGAAGTTTTAAATTACACATGAACCTTTTTTTGCACTATATATATGTTATTATTTTTTAGTATTACCACATTTGGGTAGTGATCTGACATGATCACCATCAGCTCTCTGGCTAAGCTAAGCCTAAGGTCACAAACTTAATAATTGATTTTTTATTTTTTATTTTACGTATGTTATTTATTTTTTTATTTTTTTCTACATTAGTGTTTTGACGCATTACCAACGCAACCACAAAGTCCATTTTTCCATTTGAAGAACATATTAACCTAATTTTCAAGTTTTGATCAAACTTGAACGGGTTAGGGATCCAAAATTACCATTTTGCCCCTTCCTTGATCAAGGCGTCTTGGAGTGCCAAACACCTTCCCCAAGTGTAAGCAAATCCTCGAATCCATTTCCTCGGTTCACGCAAATCAATTGAGAGTCGAATAATAAGCTCTACATTCAAATACAGCCAAGTCCATACATTCCACATTCCAGCACAATCTGGTGACCTAATATACCAAAACTCAATGTTAGATTATAACTCCAAAACACGTAAACAATGACCCTAACCTCAAAAATACAGTTCAAGAGCCACCCCGTCTCATTAGGTTCACATTTCGCTTCACAAGCTTCGACAACTGGCCTCCACATGGGGGACCATTACACTTAAAGCCCATAAGATCCCGGTTGTGGCAAAACGTGAGCGCAACAATGTTGAGTTTTCACACTCGTTGGTTTAATAGGATTTACTTTCATCAAATCTTGCTAATAATTAAATGATGCAATTTCTTGGGCCATGCTACACATCATAGGGTGTACAAGGTGTTGTCGTCGCTTGACTGGTTCTTAGTTTTCATGCCACTTTTTGCGACAACTTTGATGTTGACCTTTGCGGTAGCGATGTTCTTTTGGACATTCTTGTTTGTTTAATCCTTGGGTGGAGCCATGGATTCTAACTAAGAGGAGTCTTGAGGATTTGATGTAAGAGAAAAAGATGAGAGGCAAAGGAGGTCCCACCGAGTGTGCCAGAAATTTGTATATAAAAATTTCGATTCTAGAACAATAGAAATCAAATAGTGGATACATAACATCAGATTGTAAATAGATGGGTACAATCCTCTTAAATATGTTTTACATAAAGAATGAACGGATTCTCCAATTTGATCCCCTTGAACTTCGGTGAACGGCTTCGATACTTGATCTTAAAGCAGTTGTGACAAGCTTTCTTCAAATCTTCGAGAAGTAAAGAAAACTTGGATGGATTTCCGATAAGAGCCATGAAAGCTTGATCGCAAGCAGTTTGTTGAAGGACTTCGAAGAGAATCAACACTTATAATTTGTAAAACGTCTTCAAAGCTTTGAAGGTTTGATGCAGGTCTTCAAAGCATCAAGTCTTGAATGAGTGTGGAATCCGATAGACTTTAGTTTTATGTTGAGTCTTTCCTTTTCTCATCTTTTTTCTGTTTTTTTAGCACTCCTCCACCTTATAGACTTTACAAGTGTCCTTTGTTATAATTATTCCCAATTACATTTAATTAGAAAAAATAATTAATTTCACTGACACCCCTCAAGTTTAACCAAATATCACATAAAAATACCTTTTAAAAATTATTATCACTTAAGTTCAATTTTAAAATTGTGTTAAAAAGACTTTTTTATCACTAATTTTTTAATACTTTTTTATTTTAAAATATCAACAATCTAAAATGTCAATTTTGCCCTCATTAGTTACTCTCACCGATACCCATTTCTCTCTCATATCTGGAACTTTCAATTTGAAGACCTGCAAAATTCTTAAGTCGTTCACTGATTTTTTTTTTCTCCTTAATTTTGTGTACTTTTTATTTTTGAGAATTTGGAAGAATCAAAGTGGATTTTAAGCATAGATCCTTGACCAATCCAGAGGTACTTTCTTGAAAGCTAACATGCTTATGTGTGTGTGTATATATATATATACATATTCTTGGTGTGGCCAATTAGTTGTAATCTAGAAGTGCATGAATAGGAGTGATTCTGGAGAAACTGATATTTATATTCCAAAATCTAGGCATCCCACTCCAAACATCTTTAAAAGATGAACAAAAATCATATGAACAAAAATTTTGACTCACCCAATAGGTTTTTTTTTTAATCAAACTGACCCAATAGTTTGATTATTGTCTTCTTTCTCTAAAATTGAAGAAACCAAGTTCCCAAATTAGAAATATTCTTGTTTTCAATACACTAACCCTACTATAGCTTTTGCATCACCTCTGCAACCATACATATACCAGCCAATCTCCTCGTTACAATTAATAAGTACTATCTACCAGCCAATCTCCAACCCGCCGCCTCTGATGAAAATCAATCTGCAAAATATGCAAGTGAAACATATTTATAATCTATCACATGCAAAATCCCACTGCTAACTCTAATATATGCACCAAACTTCTGTAGGTTTTGTGTAAATGAATAACCATGGCCTTCTCAAGGCTCAAGGAAGCAGTCTACTTCAGTAGTATTGCTCAGAAGGCCGCCCTGGTAGAAATGGGGAGCATGAAGTGTAGATAGTGGAAAAACTTACATAGCATATAGTGTTGTAAAAAAATTCTTCACTAGATAATGGAATTTAAATTACCCCTTGATTACCCCTTGGGCCCTTAACCAAGTAATCCTGTATCTCTTTAAACTTTTTAATTGTAAGCAAACTCGCAAAAAATAAATTCATATAACCGGTCCAAAATAGTTGGAAAATAGCTCTGTTGAGTTGAGATTACCATGTGTATGATTTAAATTTTTCTTGAAGAAAACAAAGCTTGAACACCTTTTGGAGTGTGTTCGTCTTGTTTTGATGACTATCGGACATGAGCCTTTTTAAGACGTGTTTGTTACATAAAAATTGTGTTTGGAAACATTGTATGGGAAATCCTAAATTATGAAATTTATTTATTTATTTTTATCACAGACACATTCATGAAGTACTAAAAACATCTATGAGTCTCTAAAAACACTGTACCACACAAACAAAGCATCAAAATAAAAAGGGCTTTCTAATTAAGGCGGGTTAGTGATCAGCACCCTGCTTGTGAAGTGAAAGAGCCATTAAGGCAGCAAACTAATGCCTAAGCATAAATTAGGACTTTGAAGTACGGTACAGACTGTACCGGAGTGGTTCATCGTAAAAAGAACAACAATGGGTTGTAGCATTTCCTATTGATTTGTCTAGGGGATGTACAAGAAGCTTTCTCGTCTAAAGGCAGGGGCAGGGGTGAAATCAAACAAACGGAGGGGAGAAGGAGGTCAAAGAACCACAAAAGATGATGAAAATACAGCTCAATGAAGAACATGCCGCAAATATCTTAAGACTCGGTCACATATCTAGTTTGAGGTAAGTTGAGACCTTAAAGACCAAGTATGACCTAGGTATGATGATCTTTACAAGGCTCAAAATACTATTTTAATCATGTTAATCAAAAACTGGGATTTTTTATAAAATGATTTCCCAATGTGCTTCAATTAACTGGTCGACTGATGGAGCAACTTCGCAGTAGGTATCTAACACTGCCTCGATCAATCGAGCTCTCAAAACAGATTTCTACAACGATTCAACCTACCAAAAAGTATGGGCTAGCTACCTATATTGGCTATAAATAGGGCGTTTTAGTCGATCTAAGGTATGATTTTAAGCCTCTAATCATATAAAGAGAAAATCCTTATGTGAAAATTTTCCAATTACTAAATCAAGGGTTCCAATAGACACACCATCATATGTGATTGAGAAATTTCCAATTACTAAATCAAGGGTTCCAATAGACACCATCATATGTGATTGAGTATTCATCAATAAGCAATTCACCAGCGTATCGAGACATTTCAATTCAACCAATCAGATTCAGAAGGAAAGACGAACAGAGAAGAAACGACTGAAGAGGAAATGACTCTACTACATGCATAGAAGACATACCTCTTTTCCAAAATGCTGAAAAACTGCAAAAAGGCTCCCAATATACTAGTTCCCGAGTGGGTATGGTGGATCTTTCAAGGTTCGTAGGCAACTAACCCTACAATAAGATTAAGATACATTATAAACCAAAACAAAAAAACAAAAAAACAAAAAACAAAAAACAAAAAAAGAAGGAAAGAAAAGTGAACATTACCTCTCATCATTATCAGTTATACCATAAAAGTTCTCCACCATTTCATAGAAAAATTTTGGAACGAAATCTGGAAAATGCCAGAAAAGCAAGTCTGAAATTTGGATAAAAGTCCACCCCTTCTCAAGCTGCCCAAACAAAAAAAAAAAAAAAATTAAATAAATAAAAACTAAGAATGTGGCATTATAGTAGTCATAAAGAGAAATTGGGTATTTACCAAATGCTCATACCCATTCCTTTGGAATTCGAGAGCGGCATAAGGTGGGTAATAACTCTTATTTGCACCGTCACTATTATGTGATAGGATTTCAAATAGCACTGGCTCTTTCTTCGCTTCATTGTACCAATATGTAAAATTTGTCGACGGCTGGACCAAGCGGACTCGGTTAAGGAAATAATACTCCTTCATTTCCATCTTTACCATCATGGATGTTTTACGCACAAAATGATATCTTTTCTCATTGTTATAGAACAATGGATTTGTCTTAAAGAAGAACCACAGGACCCTAATCACATAAATAAAATGTTATTATAAATATTATTGAAAAAAAAATGAACCAAACAAGAAATGAATGAATAATCTTCCTTCAAGTCATCCACTGTTTGGCATCGGCCGATTAACCAAGATACCAAGTCCTCGAACAAAGATATCACATTGGGCCGAGCAAATCCAATCATACCAGGGAATCCCCTTGCAGCCAAGGCAACCAAATCTCTGAATTGGATTATATCTCCCCTTAATGCATTAAACTGATCTGTAATATTAAAAAAATACATTAATATTACAGATCAATTTATTACATGATGAATTAGAAAATGGCTAATACAAAGCAAAGTGAATAAATCTAAGCCAATATATAATGAGAAATCCTCTCATGCTAGGATAATTGTCTTATACATCTTCCTCGTCAAGCAATCCAAATTCCAATTCAACAAAATTCAGAATAAGCAAACTCAATGTAATATCATGAGTGGGTAGAATTGAGAGAGGGATGTTATGCTGGATGGGGGATTGACTCAAAGATATAAACAGTTATGATCTGAAATATTTAAGGGATTTGTCCTTGTTGATTTGGGGACTCCATTCAGACATTATTCGACGATCATGTGTTAAATATTGGTAACTATAGAGTAAGTGAAAGAATAGAATAGTGACACTAGAAAGCACACATACATATAATAACTATGGGGAGAATTTAAATTACCCTCTTCTGGAAAAGTCAAAGGTTCGGTCAGCTTAACTTCCCCTTCTTCTGAAATTGATAAGCTCCTCAGTAGGTTGCCTCCATAGTATCCCTCTTTCTCAATAAATTGGTCTAAACCTTCAATTATTCCCCTGTAAAATTCACACCAATGAATATAACCTACATTAGCTGATGTATTGTAATGATTGTGAAACCTAAAAAGGGTTAGAGTCACTTACAGGAATACACGCAGAAGATGATTTGAGGCAGCTAAAACTTGCGATCTGCCAGGTCTACCATCCACCACCCAAAGGCCTTCACGCGGTTGATTGTTTAGCCAATCCTCAAATGAGGAGTGAATTCTCTCCATGACCAACCTTGTAGGTCGATCTCCTCTTGCTGTAAGTGGATCTCGTTTCAGACCTAAACATTTGATGATGTTTGGATCGTAGCGCCTCAACCTAGTCCTCTTCTGCCGCGCTAGAAGTTCATCCCCGTAGTACTCGATTGAAATTTGCTGAGTGTCTTCTGGATCTGTCTCTTCCACTGTGAGGTTCCAAAATGGACAACTCGCATTCGTTCGGGTTCCTGTAGGAACCCTATTGTTGTACCAAAATGGAATATCGGGCTAACAATGAAGAACAAAAATCAGAAGAAATTCCTCAAAAATCATATACAAGTAACAAATACTACGCGCGCGCGCACACACACACACACACACACATATATATATATATATATATATATATATATATATTATTTGCACCAAAATCAGATAATACGAGTTACACACAGTGCTCGCGTATATATATATATATATATTATTTGTAAAATATATACGAGTAAGAAATTATAAAATAAAGAAAAAAAAATTAATTCCTCAAAAATCAAATACAAATAACAACATATATATATATATATATATATATATATTATTTGCATAATATATATATATACATATAGTAACAATAATTTCTAAATAATCAAAATAAATATATGTTATTTGCGCAATATATATATATATACATATAGTAACAATAATTTCTAAATAATCAAAATAAATAAATATATATATATACAGATTTATATATAAAATAAAATATAAATTTTATTAGTATTTAATTTTCTACTAAATATTATCTACAATGAAACCATCCTTATCTAACCCAGTCACCATGTTTTACTAGGGAGGGTGGGAATCAAAATAAATAAATAAAAATATATATATATATATATATATATATACAGATTTATATATAAAATAAAATATAAATTTAGTGGGTCAGAAATAAAATGTTTTTGAACAGCATATACGTATATGAAGAGATATGCACTTGGCACATTTCTCGACCATGATCTCCTCCTCCTTTTTACCTTTCCAATGCAGAGAAATCAAAAGGCTTGCGTGTGTTACCCCAACCACATTAATTTACACGTCTGTCTGTCTGTCTCTGCCTTTTCTTCACTAACTCGCTCGCTCTCTCTCTCTCTCTCTCTCTCTCTCTCTCTCTCTGTGTATATATATATATATTATGTCCTAGAGAAATGAATGGCTCAGTAGTAGTAGTATTCTTCTTCTTCATCATCAGCTCTCTCTCTCTCTCTCTGTCTCTTTCTCTCTTTTCTTCACTAACTTGCTCTCTCTCTCTCTATATATATATATATATATATTATGTCCTAAAGAAATGAATGGCTCAGTAGTAGTAGTATTCTTCTTCTTCATCAGCTCTCTCTCTCTCTCTCTCTCTCTCTCTCTCTCTCTCTTTTCTTCACTAACTTGCTCTCTCTCTCTGTCTCTCTTTTTCTCAAATGAAAAGTTGATCTATATAGCTCCTCTCTGCATATATATACATATATATTTATATGCGGTTTGTAATTATTATATGGTATATATATTTTAATTTATATTTGATTTTAATTTGCATTTTGTTGTTATTTATTTATTTATTTTTAATTAATATGTGTCTTCTGAACGTTGCTTCATTTTTTTAACTTAATTTATAAAGATTTTTGCGTTTTTGTTTTGGAAGGAATAAAAGTTAGGAGTTGTTTTGGTGCGAGTGATTTCTGGTAAGTCCCCAATTAATTCATGGCTTTTTTTTTGGTTGTTGTATGCAACAATTTTTTTTTTGCTCCTTTGTTGCTGTGCCACGTCGTCGCCAATTGCTTTCTGATTAATCTAAACCGTCCATTTAGAAAAAACTTTTGGAATAGTAGAAATCAGCCGTTAAAAAGAGGAAATCAATCTAACTTTCCATATAAAACATCCAGACTGTTGAATGCTTGGCCCTTTTGAGCTGATACATTTTAGATGGAGAGCCATTGGATATAACCCTAATACATCTCAACCGTTGATCCCAAAATTCACCCTTTTTATTTGACTAAAGTCAAACATTGGCGACGACGTGGCACAACAACAAATTTCAGTGTACATTTTGAAATTAGGTGTGTTTGAAATAATTGTTTCAAATTCAGTGAATGGCACTCCACAGTCTTTACTAGAGAACCAAGCATTGTCTTAGGGTTTCAGCCCAGTTGTAGCCGCCTCCTACACGCTTCTACTCCCACTTAACTTGTCGTCCAATTCTATCTCCTTCTCAACCCACCCTCCCTAGTAAAACATGGTGAGTGGGTTAGATAAGGATGGTTTCATTGTAGATAATATTTAGTAGAGAATTAAATTTAGAATTTAATTCTCTACTAAATATTATCTACAATGAAACCATCCTTATCTAACCCACTCACCATGTTTTACTAGGGAGGGTGGGTTGAGAAGGAGATAGAATTGGACGACAAGTTAAGTGGGAGTAGAAGCGTGTAGGAGGCGGCTACAACTGGGCTGAAACCCTAAGACAATGCTTGGTTCTCTAGTAAAGACTGTGGAGTGCCATTCACTGAATTTGAAACAATTATTTCAAACACACCTAATTTCAAAATGTACACTGAAATTTGTTGTTGTGCCACGTCGTCGCCAATGTTTGACTTTAGTCAAATAAAAAGGGTGAATTTTGGGATCAACGGTTGAGATGTATTAGGGTTATATCCAATGGCTCTCCATCTAAAATGTATCAGCTCAAAAGGGCCAAGCATTCAACGGTCTGGATGTTTTATAGGGAAAATTAGATTAATTTCCTCTTTTTAACGGCTGATTTCTACTATTCCAAAAGTTTCTTCTAAATGGACGGTTTAGATTAATCAAAAAGCAATTGGCGACGACGTGGCACAGCAACAAAGGAGCAAAAAAAAAATTGTTGCATACAACAACCAAAAAAAAAGCCATGAATTAACTAGGGACTTACCAGAAATCACTTGCACCAAAACAACTCCTAACTTTTATTCCTTCCAAAACAAAAACGCAAAAATCTTTATAAATTAAGTTAAAAAAATGAAGCAACGTTCAGAAGACACATATTAATTAAAAATAAATAAATAAATAAATAACAACAAAATGCAAATTAAAATCAAATATAAATTAAAATATATATACCATATAATAATTACAAACCGCATATAAATATATATTTATATATATGCAGAGAGGAGCTATATAGATCAACTTTCCATTTGAGAAAAAGAGAGACACAGAGAGAGAGAGAGCAAGTTAGTGAAGAAAAGAGAGAGAGAGAGAGAGAGAGCTGATGAAGAAGAAGAATACTACTACTACTGAGCCATTCATTTCTCTAGGACATAATATATATATATATAGAGAGAGAGAGAGAGAGAGAGAGAGAGAGAGCAAGTTAGTGAAGAAAAGAGAGACAGAGAGAGAGCTGATGATGAAGAAGAAGAATACTACTACTACTGAGCCATTCATTTCTCTAGGACATAATATATATATATATACAGAGAGAGAGAGAGAGAGAGAGCAAGTTAGTGAAGAAAAGAGAGAGACAGACAGACGTGTAAATTAATGTGGTTGGGGTAACACACGCAAGCCTTTTGATTTCTCTGCATTGGAAAGGTAAAAAGGAGGAGGAGATCATGGTCGAGAAATGTGCCAAGTGCATATCTCTTCATATACGTATATGCTATTCAAAAACATTTTATTTCTGACCGATTTGACAATTCACTAGTAAATAGCTAGTAATCCATTGTTTGTTTGATAACAACCACATTGTCTTAATCTAATTGAATGCACCGTGTAGTTTCACAAGGTGGTTTGAAATAATTGTTTCAAATTTGAAAAAAAAAATTTATTAGAAATTTAAAATAATACTCTAAGATATATGATAGAAATAATTTCGGTGTTGTTTATTTCTAAAATAAAGAATCGTACAAGTAGTAATTTTTTAAAAAAAATTTAAATTGTAATGAATATTACCAAATTCAGTGTACATTTTGAAATTATTAGACACATTAATATTATGCTATATTTTATTCCTAATTTTTCCAAATTTTTAAATTTCTAATTTATTTTTCGTCTTGCATTATATTAGAATCATTTTTGTAATTTGAGTTAGGTTTTGACTATTTTGGAAAACTTCCGCCTTACTTGGAATAATTTCCAAAAATAATTTTTAGAGAATGAGAACATAAAACTGAAAACCGTTTTTTAAGTTTAAAAATCTGCTTGGTAGGAAATATTTTCAAAACAGTTTTTAAATAACAAAAAATCAAAAAACTATTTGGTTGTCTAAAAATAATTTTTTGAACTTAAGAAAAAATATATATATAATAAAATATTTATTTTGCCTTGTATGCTATATATATATATATATATATATATATATATATATATATTTTAAATCTTACGTGACTATTCCTTTACTATTACCAAAAAAAAAAATCTCATCAAGGAAAGATTTATTCAACAAACAAAGCTAAATAAAGAAAATAAAAATAAAAACTAAATACAATCAAATTATACTTAATAATCATAATCTTGGAATATGATGAATGTTTATACTTAGAATAATGCTCAGTTATTAACAATAATATAATTGATGCGACCCGAGCGTGTGCACAAAATAATGCACAACACTTTGGTTTTGGAAATGGTATCAAGCGGGCATCATAGTTTACATTTGTAAACCGCTAGACACTTATACTATGTAGTATGAAGTGAGAAGGGATCGAACCCAAGGGATTGAACACGTGTTGGGACTAAACTTGATTTTAATGCTAATTAGATTGTAAAAGAGAGAAGAGAAAGAGTGTGAGAGAAAAATATTTTGGTGGAGTGATTAAACTAAAATTCAATTAAAAGCATGAAAATAGAAATGACATTAAACTAAGAATTAAATAGATAGGAAGAGAGTCTTAGGGTTAGGATTCACCACTAAGCCCATGCAATTAACCATATGCTTTCAATTAATGGGGAATTTATTAGTGTAATTATAGATGTGGTCACATTATCATCACAAATCACAATTATAAGCATAGATTATCAACATCAAGAATGAATTGTTTACCTAATGACAATTAAACTAAAGTGTAGAACCCATTCAAGACTACGTCATAACCCACCATACACATTCACAAATGTATTCGATAAAAGCACACATCAATTAAGAGGATAATACTAATTGTAATTAGAAGTATGGATTAACATAATCAAGCACAAATTGCCTACTTTACTACAATTACCTAATGACAATAAGCTAATTTGTAGAACAACCCATCAAGATTAAGCCTTTATCCATCAAATTAATTTACAATTGTATCAACTAAGTCTCATGCTAT